CAGTTCCTCGAAGATCCTGCCTGCTTTTGCTCTTAGTCTCACCTCCTGCCAGCTCTTCCCAGGAACCCTGCAGTGCCACCAAATGGGATTTGTTTTATGGCCTGGCTCAACATGGGCAAGTCTTCTCCACTGTGTTTGCCTGTTTCATCCATTCAACTCCACTCAAGAGGCGGTGACAGAGTTTCAGTGACAGAGTTTTGGTGACAGAGTTTCAGTGCCTCGTGTGGGATGGAGATTGATATGGCTTCAAGGAAGGCACTTGGTGCATCCTGGGGCTGGGGACATTTCCCTGCCCCAATGTCACCCACTGCTGAGGCAGWGTTGGACAAAACCTTCAAAACCCCCCAACCTTCATGTCCATTTCCTCTTTTACCTTCTCCAGTGAATACCGAGGTCCCGGTTCAACGGTTCACAAAGTGAGCAAGCGCACCCTCCCTCCTCCCAAGRTTCTCCACATTCCACCATCCTCATCTCCCACCTACCTGAAAGTGCTGCCCAAACACCACCTCTCCTTGGGAAATCCCAGCTCAGCCATAACCTCCGTGGCTGCGGAGGATCCTGGTGCCGGGATGACATCCTTCCCAGCGCCCGTCGGTGCCGGCCGGCACTGAGCCCACCCCACGCCAGCCCCGGGTGTTCTCCCCGCTCCGACAGCTGTACGGAAATTGGAAGGCGGCGCTGACATGTGTCAACAATAACCAGCGAACAAGCGCCAGCGGCGGCAGCGGCTGTCCCCACCACCTCGAGKAGGCTGGCCACTCTTGGCTGAAATCACGGCACGTTGCGGCTGGAAGCAGGAGTATTGTTTCAATTATTTCCATTATATAAAGTCAGGCCATTTAATATATTCTGCCTCAAAGGGGCTCAACTAAAGAGATAAAATAAACACTGGAAATCTGCTCTGCTGACATGGACCAGGAATTCGGTTTCGACACCAAGCCTTCCCTCCCATCTCACTGCTTGTCTTCCCTTTGCTCCCGGCTCCCTCTCCTACTCTTGCTGCCCCTCGGTCTTCAGCACCACTTGATGCCAATTCCCTGGTTGGGCTTTGCTCCTGTTTTGGCAGCTGGAGCGCTTGAAGGCTGCGCAGCCACGCTGGCGTCCAGGATTGGAGCAAGCCAGAGGAGCCAAGAAGAGAGACGAAGCTTCAGAGCTYGCTTTGGGATGAAGGACTTGATTTATGGCAAATCTTAAGCCTCTTGGGGTGCCACATTCCCTGAGAACAGCAGAAATGGTGGATGGCACAAAGCCAGGAATGGCTGAAGTGTGGTATGAGAAGGAGAAGAAGGAAAAGGGGAAGAAGGAAAAGGAGAAGAAGGAAAAGGTGGAAGAGGAGGAGGAGGAGGCGGGGAGAGAAATGTGTCCTGAGTGTGCTGCAGGCAGCATTTAGTAATGTCAGCACTAAAATCAGCCACCTTCAAACTTTCCTTCTCATGTGGGACATCTGATCGCATCCTGGCACTGAGGGATCTCACTGGCTCTGTGCTGGCATGGGAGGTGGTGAGTTGGGCTGCCAGGAGGCTGGAGCTGCTCCCACCAGCTCTGACCAGGCAGGAGCTGCTTCCCATTAGAGCTTCCCACGGCATCAGCRTCCCCAGAGCACTCCTCCCTTGCAGGGCTGTGCTAGTCCAGGTATTTCCAACATGCTGGCATGTGGGAAGGAGCACAAGCCTCACTTGGCCTTTCCCAGCAGGTTGCCCCACTCCAAGCTCTGCTTSTCTTGGAGAGGGGTCATGGGCAGTGCCACCGCCAGGGCCTGGGTGACGGAGGGAGCTGTGTCACGGGATGCCAGTGAGGGCTGCGGTGCAGCGTGAGGTGGAGCTGGCATTTCATAAGAACAGGGAAAGGGCCTCTGCTGAACTGGCACGAGAGAAGCTGTGACTTTCCATTCCTGTGGGAAGCRGGCTGCCACCGTCCAAGCATCTGGGCTTGTTATGATGGGAGAGGAATGCCAAGTATTTTTCTTCCTTATCCACTACCATCCGCTCAAACCCTCCCCTGATCAAACCCACATTCATTGCCTGGGATGCACTGGAGAAGATCCCTCCCAGCCCTCGTGGCTKCTGGGAGCTCATTGCACCTGTGGAGAAAGCCCTGCCCTCATCCAGAGGGTCCCTTCACCCCCTTGCCCCTTCCAGTTTCTTGCTGCTTCTAGCCAGCTGCAGACATTTCATTTTCACTTTACCACCTTTGTCAGGAGCATCCCTGCACCTGCATCCCTGCGCCTGCATTCCTGTGCCACCACCTCTGCGACTGCATCCCTGCAGACCTGWGGGCCCAGCGGGACCGCACTGTCCCCTCCAGAGCCCAGAGCATCCCAAAAGCAGCCACTGGGATGGTGCCACGGGCGTGTGCCCTGGGGCGCYGGCCGTGCCGGGAAGCAGGCGGTGCAGCCTTGGAAGGTCACCAAGATTTTTCCGAAGATGAAAGTGTGCTCAAGTGTCAAACAAACTTTCCAAATTATCTTTCTGGACACTTTCTCCCTTCTGCTTTGGAAGACGGAGGAGGAACATTTCATTCCCTCTGTGCTGGCGTGGAGCGGGGCTGCGTGAGGAGCCGGGAGCTGCCAGCGTCACCCGCGGCTCTGCCTCACTTCCCCCTCGGCATCACTCCTGAGTCACCGCGGGTGCTGCCCTGGCACCATCAGCTGGGCTTCCCCCCCTCCCTGCAGCTCCCCAAACCCCTCCCAGCACAATAGAGGGCTGCCAGGTGCCCAGTTAAACAGCAGACACCACCTCAATGCCGTTTRGATTTGTCATAAACAGACAAATTAAGGGGAACGTGTGGATTTCTCTGCTCTCTCAGGGATGCCTGGCACACAGCGGCAGGGGCATGGGGACAGCAGCTCTGCTGCCCTTGGCAAATCCCTCATGATACCAAACAGCTGGAGATGGGCTGAGCAATTGCCCTGTGCTGCCCTGAGGATCCAGCACCAATGAGAGCTGTCTAATTAATGTGTCCTCATGTGACGGGTCAACCTGGCAAGGCTTRTGCTCACATCCGCTCACTCATGCCAGCAGCCAGAGAGCGTGACCAGGAATGAGGTGCTTCCCTGGCCGTTGCCCAGTGTTTGCCTTCCAGGACTGGACAAGGAAATTCCCTGTYGGCTCCAGGGCAGCTGGGCTGGCACCCAACAGGACTTGTGGCACTTTTTGCCCTGTGGCACTCCCGTCTCTCCCAGGTCAAGGCCATTCACACCAACRCAGCTGGCTCCAGACAGGGTTTGGAGACACTCAGACATCCCCAGTGCCATTCCCATATCCCTATTTTTCTGTGCTGGGATGRCAGCAGCATCCCCAGGTCCACATGGGCCCCCCAGCTCTTGGAAACCCCTGATGGTGATGCCATGCTGCAGGTTTGGTTGTTTATGGAAATTTCGGCTGAGCCAGATGCTGCAATTTRTGCATTTTATGTGTAATTTTTCAATTTATTTCATAATTAGAAAAAAAACCTAAAGTGATCCCAACCATTATTACTCCTGGTTTCCTCAGTTATTACTCCTGGTTTCCTACAGTGAAGCCAAAGGGGTCTGAAATGGCTCCTTTGTTGTCTGATCATTAACCCTTCAGGAATGAAACGCAGCAGTGCCCGATGGGAGCAGTGGGGAGAGAAGTTCAGGGGGGCTGGGGGAGACAAGGGCAACAGGAGKGAGAAATTCAAGGGCTAGAGACAAGAGAAACCCCAATGTATGGTCCCTGAGCCTGGTCGGACACCCCAGGACGCTGCTGGACACATCTACTGTGGCCCCATGGATGGTCCACTCCRGTGCAATGAGTTTGCTGGTGCTCAGCGCCCCCCGGCTCGTTCATCCCTCACAGGTAACGCAGACCCAGAGAATCCCGGGTGGGAAGGAACCCTGCAGCTCGTTGGTGTATGGGATSAGCAGGTGGGTGATCATCTCCCCCAGGGTGCTCAGGGGGGTCCCGTGTGCCCAYAAAGCTCCTCTGTGCCCCCTGTGGGGGGACGAGAGGGGCACCAGGTGTTGGTTTGCACTCGGTGATGCCAGRGGTGGATGCGCTGCCACTGGGGCTSTCACTGGTGGCCAGTGGCTCTGGAGCCCTGGCTGGGAGGTCATCAGGCTGTTCCAGGGTACGGCTCCTGGCACAGGGTTGGCACGATGGGATGAGCACATGCGGCTCCCGGGATAGGGACCTGCACCTACAGGACACCTCGGGTACCCGGCGAGCGAAGTGTCGCCCTCCTGTCCTGCATTTCCCTTCAGGCACAGCCCCCAGGGTGGGTTTTGGGGAGCACAGCGTGGGACAAGGGGTGCGGACAGCGGCGTGGGAGCCCGGAACAGCTCAGTGAGCTCGTCTTGGCTTGGCACAGCTTGGCACAGCTCGGCTCCGCTCCGCTCCGCTCCCGCAGCTCGGAGGGAGGTGAGTTAAGAAGCACTCGGAAAATCAGAGTCAGCTGCAATCCTGGGGACAGCCGGGGCAGACCCACAGCCGCCGCCGGAGCTGCCGGAGACCCACCACGGCTCCCGGCGATCGGGGCGCTCAGCCCTGCCCGGGGGCCGTCACTGCCCCCCAGCCCTGCCGGGGTGAGCCGGGGGGGCTGAGCCGGGGGGGGCCGGCGCAGGCAGCGTCACCCTCCTGGCTCCACCCCCCCAAAATCGCAGGGGGCTTCGCTGTGACCCCGGCGCTGGGATGGCAGCGGGACAGTCGGACCGCGGCGGGACGGCGGGACGGTTCCCAGCCGAGGTGGTGGCTGGAGTGCTCCGGGGGGATCCAGTCAGGGCGTTTGTCAGT